GTAAGTGAATAGATAAATAGAAATTGACTAAAAGGCACAAATTGGAGCATTCTTCTCATGTAGACCATCACATTTCTGTGAATTCTTTATCACTTTTGCTTAATAAATATATGATCATTCTGCCAATAAGAAAGCACAAATTGGTATTGTAGAAACTGAGTGCTGAGGGGCACAGGGCTTATGAGTTTAATAAGGCAGAGAAGAGAACTTCTGAGTTGGAAGAGTCCATTTACATCTGCTGGATGATCACTGAATCAGCTAAAAGCATCAGGTGAAACTCTGGATAGGAACATTGGTAAACTGATTACATTTCAAGGCAATTAGAAACCAGGAAGCTCCTAACAAGAAGGTCAACCTACTCCATTGGTACTTCCAACTCTACTCCATTGGTATTTATAATTTTTGAGATTGCAAGGTAAGAGACATGAAGATGGAATCATCCACCTCAAAAGTTCCCTGTTCTTCAAGAAGCAAGTCTCCAAAACACCAAAGGATTCAATTAAAAAGTGGGGTACAGAACTAAATACAGAATTCTCAATAGAGGAGGCTAAAATGACTGAGAGACACTTGAGAAAGTGCTCAACTTCCCTAGCAATCAGGGAAATACAAATCAAAACAACTCTGAAATAACATCTTACTCCTGTCAGAATGGCTAAAATCAAAAACTCCAACAACAGTTTATGCTTTAGAGGATGTGGAGAAAGGGGAACACTCCTCCACTGCTGGTGGGAATGCCAACTCATACAGCCACTTTGGAAATCAGTATGGAGATTCCTCAGGAAAACAGCAATCAGTCTACCACAAGACCCAGCAATTCCACTCTTAGGCATATACCCAAAAGATGCACATTCATACAACAAGGACGTCTGTTCCACTATATTCATAGTAGCATTATTTGTAATAGCCAGAACCTGCAAGCAACCCAGATGCTCCTCAACCGAAGAGTGGATAGAGAAAATGTGGTACATTTACACAATGGAGTTACTATTCAGCAGAAAAAAAAAATGGAATCTTGAAATTTGCAGGCAAATGGACAGCACTAGAAGAAACCATCCTGAGTGAGGTAACCCAGTCACAAAAAGAGAAACATGGTATGTACTCATTCACATATGGATTTTAGGCAATCAATGGAGCCTTGGGTAGTATTTATCCCTGGCATACAAATGGACTTTGGGTGCCCATCCCACAATGAGGGATGCTCTCAGCCTGGACTCCTGGGGGAGGGCCTAGGCCTTGCCCTGAATGAAATGACAGACTCTGGAGATCCATCATGGAGGGTCTCACCCTCCCTGGGGATCTGAGTGGGGATTGGGAGGGGGGGCTGGGAGGCCTGGTGGGAGTGGCGGGGGAGGAAGGGAGGAAGAGGGAGCTGGGATTGACATGTGAAGGAAGCTTGTTTCTAATTTAAATAAAAAAGTTTCCTGTTCTGCCCTGTAAAATACCACCAAGCCCCCTGTAGTTCAATCAAATTGAATCCGGTAGACAGGGTTAACTACTACATAAAAGTATTGAATCATAAATAATGAATCTTAATAGTTGAGAAACCTATTACCACTTAATAGATAAAAATTATGTGACAAAAAACATCTCATTTTCATAAAAAAGTAGAAATTCCAAGATTAGAATGGCAGTCCATGACAATCTATGGCTAACATCTTATTCATCGGATAGAAGATTAAATGACTTCCTTTTAGAGCAAGAACAAGATAACATAGTCTCTTTTGCTACTTCTATTTAACATTATGGTATAAGTTCTAGGTAGGGATATTAAATAAGAAAAACATCATAAATCTGAATTGTAAAGAAATCATAAAACAAATCTATTCTCGAGACATCATCTTGTATATCGAATAACCTACTTTAAAATCTGGTAGCTTATAAATGGATTCAGGGAATTTGTATGATATATAGCAGTGAACAGCCCAAAATGAAATTTAAAACATAACTGAACTTGCTTACCAAAAAAGACAAAGACCCTTAAGAATATTTTTTTTTAAAAATGACAAGACCTGGGGTAAATTTCTATGATAAAATAATTGCCAACCATACAAAATACCCCATGTTTTATCTCCAGTACTGTTAAGAGAATATATTTTTTGTCCAAAAGGAACCAGAAAATTGCTTCACTGGATACTATAAACACCACTGAAAGAAATTAAAACACATAAATAAATGGAAAAATATTGTCCTCCATAGACTGTGAAGCTTAATATTATACAAATATTCTCCAAAAGGATTTATAATATCAACACAGATGCTTTCAAAATAGTGGCTGCCATTTTTTGGTAGAAATTGGCAGAGTAATTTTGGCATCATATCTATTTACAGGATTCCAAATACGTCAAAAATATTTCTTAATAAATTTGGAGGCTTACGTGGATATGACTATACTAAATGATTAAAAGAAAAATGAGTAATAGATAAATGAGATTCCAAACTAAAATGTTTTTTCTGCAAAGGACATTATCAAGAAAATGAAAGATCCAACAACTGGGAAAGATAGTTCTAATCTATTTATCTGATTGAGGCTTGTATGCAGAAAACATGAAGAACTTACATTTCAACAAGGAAAAACATTCAAGAATTCATGTCTGATACTATAAACATAGGGAAAACCACATCGAGTTAAGTCATGAATCAAAGGAGTTTTTGGTGTTTTGCTAAATGGTCATGCTGTCAACTGTATTTTAGATGTTGATTTATGCTTATAATTACGGCTTAATGCCGCTCTCATGCTTGGTCAGAGAAACTTCTAATTGAAGCACACAGCAGTTGATGCAGAGATGAAGTGCTCAAAGTGCTGAGAATAAGAGACTGTGAGTGTTCATCCACAAATGAGACAGACAGACACAGGTCTGAGGATTTGACTCTACAAAGGAGAAGGCAGAGAATATCGGAGGGATGAAGCCAGAGGTAGAAAGCAATCAAGATGCACTTTAAACATTTATGAAATTTCCTAACACAATAAAAATGTCAAAGGCTATGGAAAATTAATAAAACAAACATCAAGGGCTAAAGTCTAATTTTTAGTTTTATAATTTTGTAGGACTACAGTCTGCCACAAGTTTTAACGGACTAAAATCTGAGTCATTTGATCTGTGGCTATATTCTATAAGATCTACTGGAGAGTTTGGTTTTTATTTTACTTCTATTTTTTGCCATTTCTAAGCTCTAGAAATGATCTCATTCATTAACATACACCCCAGCATTTCCATTTCTGAAGACATCAAATGACACTGACTTCTTTATCTTTTCACATCCCTTTAAGACTGATGTTTCTTTTTATACTTCAAAGGATTCTTGTGATCTACTGGGACCACTCAGACAATATTAGCTGATTTACTCATTTTAAGAGCAGCTGGTTTTCAATCTTCATTGTAAGTTCCCCTTCTCATAGAACATCATAACACATAGAGAGATTCAAATAGGAACATCATTCACCTTGAGGTAGATGTAAGTAAGTATTTCCCTAAAGAAAATATGTGAATGAAGAATAAAACATAAAATATAACTATCATCAGTTATTGGGATGATGAATATTAAAAACATATTGGCACACCATTTTGTACCTAATAGGACTATTATAATGAAAAAAGGACATTATCAAGTATGGGAAGGGGGATAAGAAATTGAACTCTTAATTTACTCCTAGAAGAAACACAAAATCATGCAATCACTTCCTCAGACACTCTTGGGAATAGCTCCAAATGTTAAATACAGCATTTTGAAGACTTAACAATTCCTCTATATGTTGTATTTTGAGTCTTAAGTACATATCCATACAAAATCACCCACAAATGTTTATTACATCATTTTACAAGCCCAAATAGGGAAACATCAGATTTCAAGCAAGAATTGTCAAACAGACCATAGAATCCCAAGTCCTGACTTGGGCCACAAACATATCTAGAGGGTCCTACAATGGAATGTGTGGGAAGGACACAAAAATTTGGCAACAAAAAGCTTTTAAATATGCAATGACTAAAAATTAAATGAAAGTTAAATGTATAATTAAGCTGAGGTTCCTCTTGCAGAACTAGTCTGTGTTACAGCACAAACCTTCACCACATCCTTGCTTCTGAATCTATAAAATGCACACTTTGCACTGTGTGTGCATCATGTGACATAACAACAATGGATAGTGTCTGAAACACAAGGGCTCGGATTTGAAACAGTTGTATGTTTTAAGTTGCACTTTTTTTTACTGTACCTACAATTTTTTCTATAGCATTATAGAAAATGAAGACTTTTTATATTCTTCTGCTATTATTCCTCAGCACATAAGTATTAAATTTGTATACACTTATATACCTCACCTATATACCTACGACCACATAAAAATCAGCTAAGGCAAAAAAAAAAAAAGAAACTGAGTAGAGAATGATCAAGAAGTTCTGTTTTAGAGTGCCTAGAAAGAGTTGTCAGAGTGGCCAATCATAATTATAATAACTCTTGAAACACGGGAGGAGCCTGGTTCCCACCAGAATGTCTTAGTGTCCACATTTTTTTGTTTTTCCCCCAACATAACAAGTTACAACCTAGGCAACTATTAGATCTTTCAAATTTTAAATTTTGAATAAATTTGCAAGGTATTGCTCATATGATTGTTCCATAAAAACCTTCAATAGACATAAAATACTTGATCTTTGAGTTTGGGTGGCACTTCATTACAGACCCTATTTAATACTCTACAGTCATCTTAAGCCATATCTATTTCTGTATGTCTTATAATTCCTTAAGAAAATAAAACTGTTTTAGAAGCAATAACTGTATTTCATACTGCACTTGAACATTACATGCTTTTTCTGGCACAAGGTAGACCCTTAACAAAGAATTATGGATTCTCTGTGACTGGACTAATAACCAGTTCTAGGCCACATATAAGACATACTTCACAGACACTACTAATTCAAATGTGGTTCTTACTCCTCTGTATAATACTTTGGAAGAAAAAATAGCTGAAGCGCTAGGGAAGGAAGGCAAAGAATAAGCTAACTTACCTGAATACATCCTTCATCAATTTTTCCCCTTTCAGGATCCATTTTAAAGTGTGCCGTTTTTTGAAAATGGTACATCACAGGAAGTGATATGGAATGATTTTTTACAATGCATAGAAGATCCGAATGTTCACCCATGAAACAAGGTGCAAATGTAAGTACTTTTCCTGGATCAAATTGCAAGATGACAGGGAGCCCAGAGCCTGTCAAAGCTAATTCTAATTTTTGAAGTCGATTACCTGGAAAAGCAATACAGTGAGGAGTTTTTGGAGAATCAAAAATATATTTGCTTACCTCACAGAGTTGTCATTTAAAAAAATGATGGAAAACAAGGAGCTCATTCAATCTGCAGCAAAACACCTGACTACCTTCTTTGTGTTACACCTAATTTTGAATATTGAGAACACAGCTGTGAATAAGAAAAAACTATTCTGATGGGTTTACATTCTACAGATTTAATACTGAAAATAACTACAATTACAACACTCAAAGAGGTTAGAAGTCACATGTAAAGACAAAAAAAGAGTGAGATATAATACAAAATATTGGGAACTCTGTTTAAGGTAGAGATATTCAAACAGGCCTTTTTTATTTACATGGCATCATTTGGTCAAACATTCAAAGGAAATAAAACATCCATAAAAAGTGTATTCCAAGCAGAAAGAACAAAGTCAAGTGCTCTGAAGTAGGAACTTGATTATCACATTCTAAAAGCCATAAGGAATCAGATATGGTTGTTTCAAAAGAATTGTACATGTATGGCCAGAAACAGCCAAGGTTGCAGATGCATCCTTGAGTGTAGAGTAAATACTCTTTGTCCATATATTGTATAGAAGACAGAAAAATCAACAGATGCTAAATTATGACACTAAGTTTTTTTCCTGTTTTGTTTGTTTGTTCATATATGTTTAGTGTACATGTGAGCAACTGAAAGGATAGAATTGCCATTTCTCTAGATAAGCTAGCTACTTATAAAGAAGAAACTGAATTCTTTTGAAATTTTTCTAGTTAGCACTAATTGCCAACTTCAAACAATCTAGGGTCACTCAAAGAATTGTCTAGATTAGACTGGCCTGTGAGCATTTCTGTGGGTTTTCTCTTGATTATTTATTGATGCAGGATGATACAATTCATTGAAGTCAGAATCATCCCTTGCAGGTAGTTCTGGACTGGATAAGAAACCTAGTGTAGCATTAGTCAGTGTCTAGAGGATAATCTACTAGGTACATCATTCAATATATTTACATCCTTTACGTAAAGATGAAAGAGGAAAGAATGAAGACTTGAATTAAAGGTGTAGCATGGAGATTGTTACAAAATTCAGCAAAATATCAAAATATCATAACCCACTGGGGTGAGTGAATAAGATGAAAGATAAAGAGATTAGTTTTTCTTCTTCAATTATTAAGGGAAAGAGGCCAAAGGTTATATAGTCATGTAAAAGAGTAATTATTAAATCATACATGATGGAATAACACAGACTGGAAAAGTATTAAAAATTAGGGTTTGAAACATTAGGTATAAGACAGGAAGTATGAAATGTGTGAAAGAACCAAGATTTCTCCATCTTGTCCCTGCTGCGGTCATCGAAGGACTGACTCAGAGAGGATCCCGTGCTTACAGCCCCTCCTATGGGAATGTCCCTTAAAAAATTATCTAACACTGTCTCAGGGACTTGAGTTCAAGATGCCCAAGCTAAATGACAATTTTTTTATCTGTCAAACAGCTTGCTTGCTCTACTTCCCCCTGCAACTGCCTTTAAAGCTTACCCATAAAAAACAGACAGGGCAGCTCTGTGAGAACTTTCTCTCCAGGCATTCTCCAGTCAGATTAACAAACCCTCAATTTGGACTCTGATTTTATAGAGTGGTCTTTGGGGTCTTTGTCCCAAAACATATTGTACTCTCTACTTGGATGATAGGAACAGTTTAATGAAGAGAAATGCAACTAGAACCCAAGAAAAGAGCATTTTTTTTCTCACTGGTGTTCTCACGGGTCAATTCTACTTGTTGCTTTTTCCCAGCGCCCAACTTCAGCAGACACCCCCTGCTAACCAACCAGCCATGCCAGAAAGCCAGATAGGCTGAACAGAGACCTTCTCTTCTCTCTCTCTTCCCGAGATCTAGTGCCCCAGTCTCATCCCAAGGTCTGCAGCAGAATCCCTGTGGCACTTTTCCTTTCCCCTGCCCCCATCTTCTGTGCACCCCATAGATCTTCCCTTCTGGATTTCCTACCCACTTGTTGCTTCGTCACAAACCATAACCAGAGCAGGCACTCTCTGCTAACCCAAGGGCTACTCTTTCCAGGGCAACACATAACCGGAATGCAGACCCACATGTCCCCTACTACTCCTGAGATCCAATCCCTAGTCTCATCCCTAGCTTTGTAAAGTGAAAAACACTTCCATCTCCCTTTCCAAACTCACACCATCCCCAAGGGATCACAAATAATTTCCCTTCCAACATTTCTTCCTTCAACTCATCACAGTCATGAAGGGGCCAGAATGTGACCCCACCTTAGACATGGAACAATCCCTCATTGTAAATAATTATCTAACCCGGAGTTCAGGAAGTCCCCCAGCTAAGTTGAGTCAATCATCTGAACAGCTTCAAACCTGGCAGAGAGAACCAAATTTACAGGATATGACCACACATGATGAAAAGGCCCACAAAGGATATGAATGCTACTAGCCCCATTCAATCAAACTGTGTGTAATAGGAACACACCAGCTGGACTAGAGAGAAAAACAAGCAACACAACCCTCTAAAAATCCAGAGACAAAACAGAAAACAATGAACAAAACACCAACCCAGTAAAGAAAAAAAACGCAGATATCAGCAGACAAGTCTATAATCATCCTAAATCAATATGCCTAGCTATCAGCAAAAAAAAACACAATCTGTAAAAGCCAGTGCAAAATATCTTCACTAAATCCCACCTATCACACCACAGCAGGCTCTGAAGATTCCAATGTAGCTGAAACACAGTAAAAAGTCTTCAGAATCAACTACATGAAGATGATAGCGGTCCTTAAAGATGAAACAAATCGCTTAAAGAATTCCAGGAAAACACAGACAATGGGAGGAAACAAATAAGACCCTTAAATAAATAAAAGAAACAAAAACAGAGGAAGGAAATGATTAAAATTATTAAAGAACTGAAAATTAAAATAGAGGCATTAAAATGAAAAATTTAGGAATTTGAAGGGAACTATAGAGGCAAGCTTCACCAATAGAATGGAAGAGATAACACTTAACATATGACAGAAAAACAATGGATATATCAGTTAAAGAAAATGTTATTCTGAAAATTCCTGACATAATACATAAAAGAAATCTGGGACACTGAAAAAAAAACATATGTAAGAATACGTTTTCAACAAAATCATAGAAGTAAAATTTCCTAATGTAAAGGAGGAGAAGCCTATAAAGATTCAAGAGCATACAAAACACCAAATAGACTGGACCAGAAAAGAAAGTCCCCTTAACGCATAACAATCAACCCCACATCTGACAGAGGGCTGATTTCCAAAATTTACAAAGAACTCAAGAAGCAAGTCTCCAAAACACCAAAGGATCCAACTAAAAAGTGGGGTACAGAACTAAATAGAGAATTCTCAATAGAGGAGTCTAAAATGGCTGAAAGACACATAAGAAAGTGCTCAACATCCTTAGCCACAGGGAAATGCAAATCAAAACAACTCTGAGATACCATCTTACTCCTGTCAGAATGGCTGAAATCAAAAACTCAAGTGACAATTTATGCTAGAGAGGATATGGGGAAAGAGGAACACTCCTCCACTGCTGGTGGGAGTGCAAACTCATACAGCTACTTTGGAAATAAGAATGGCAGTTCTTCAGGAAAATGGGAATCAGTCTACCACAAGATCCAGCAATTATACTCTTAGGCATATACCCAAAAGATGCACAGTCATACAACAAGGACATCTGTTTCACTATGTTCATAGCAGCATTACTTGTAATAGCGAGAACCTGGAAAAAAAAACCAAGATGCTCCTCAATTGAAGAATGGATAAAGAAAATGTGGTACATTTAAACAATGGAATACTAATCAGGGGGGAAAAGCAATGGAATCTTTAAATTCCAAGTCAAATGCATGAAACTAGAAGAAACCATCCTGAGTGAGGTAAACCAATCACAAAAAGATAGACATGTTATATACCCACCCATATATGAATTTTCGACATAGAATAAAGGATCACCAGCCTACAATCCATACCTCCAGAGAAGCTAGGAAACAAGAAGGATGCTAAGAGAGACATACAAGGTCCCCAGGAGATGGGGAAAGGGACAAGATCTCGTGAGCATGAGGGGAAAGGAGAGGTAGTTAAGAGAAAGAGAAGGGGATAAGAGGAGGGTAGACGAGGACATGAGGGAGCAGGAAAGTTGAGTTGGAGGAAGAATACAGGAGATCAAGAAAAGAACAATAATAGAGGGAGCCATTATAGGTTTAAAGAGAAATCTGGCACTAGGGAAAAGTCCATAGATCTAAAAGGATGACCCCAACTAGCAATCTAAGCAATAGTGGATAGGGTACCTTAAATGCCCTTCCCCTATAATGAGATTGATGACTACCTTAAATGCCATCCTAGACCCTTTATCCAGTAGCTGATAGAAGCAGAAGCAGATACCCACAGCTAAACACTGAGCCGAACTCCTGGAATTCAGTTGCAGAGAGCGAGGACTAATTAGCAAAGGGGTTAAGACCAGGCTGGAGAAACCCACAGAAACAGCTGACCTGAACAAGGGGGAGTTCATGGACCCCAAACTGATAGCTGGAAAGCCAGCATAGTACTGACCCAGACCCCCTGAACAAGGATGTCATTTAGGAGGCCTGGGAAATCAATGGGGCCTCTGGCAGTAGATCAGTATTAATCCCTAGTACAAGACTGGATTTTGGGAACCCATTCCACATAGAGGGATACCCTCTCAGCCTGGACACATGGGGGAGAGCCTCAGCCCTGTTCCAAATGATATGATAGACTTTGAAGATCCCCCATGGAAGGTCTCACCCTCCCTGGGGAGCAGAAAGGGAATGACATAGGGGGTCGGGAGAGAGCAGGGGAGGAGGGGAGTGAGAGGGAACTGGAATTGACATGTAAAACAAGCTTGCTTCTAATTTAAATTTTTAAAAGGAAAAAAAGAATAAACATATAAAAGAAAGACAATTAAAAGCATCAAGGGATAAAGAGAAAGTAATATAAAAATTAAGACTATTATAATAACATCTACCTTCTAAATGGAGATTATAATAGCCAGAAGGGCCTAGACAGATTTGCTGCAGATTCTCTGACAGTGGTTCTCAACCTTCCTAATGCTGCAACCTTTTAATACAGTTTCTCATGCTGTGGTGATCCCCCAAAATAAAATTGTTTTCATTGCTATGTTGTAACTGCAATTTTGCTGTTATGAATTATAATGTAAATATCACTTTTTCTGAGGGTATTAGATAACCCCTGTGAAATGGTTATTGAGTACCCAAAGGGCTGTAACCCACAGACTGAAAACCACTACTCTAAGAGACCACAGATGGCCAGCCCAGATTACTATACCCTGTTGTGGATATTAGTTTAAGATGTATTTCAAAGTTTATACTGCAGTATATTTGTGCAATGATCCAAGATGTGTTGTATTCTTGTATTTGTTTAACTGTAGAGAGAAATAAATGTGCCAGAAAGAATAAATAGGAGGAGAAATCTAGGTTCAAAAAAGAGAGAGGGTGTAGCAAAAAAGGAGAAGGAGAGGAGAGGACACCAGGAACCAGCCAGCCAGCCACATGCCAGCCATGGAATAAGAAGGAAAGAAAGATATATAGAATAAAGAAAAAGAAAAAACCAAGAGACAATATGTAGTTAAAGAGAAATGTGATAATTTAAGTTAAGAAAGCTAGCTAGAAACAAGCCAAACTAAGACCAGGCATCAATAAGTAAGAATAAGTCTCAGTGTATTTATTTGGGAGCTGTGTGGTAGACCCCCCAAAAGAGTTTTTAAAAAATTCCAATACCCAGCAAAACTTTCCATCACTTTTTATAGATGGAGAAAATAAGATATTCCATGACAAGACAAATTTAAACATTATCTATCTAAAAACCCCGCTCTACATAAGATACCAAAACAGGAGTTTTCAGCCTGCAGGTCTCAACCCCTTTGAGGGTAGAAAGAACTCTCACAGGGGTAGCATATGAGGTACCCTGAGAATCAGTATTTTACAATATATAAATAACAGTAGCAAAATTACATTTAGGAATTAGCAACAAAAATAATTTTATGATGAGAGTCCACCAAAACATGAACTGTGTTAAAAGGTGGCAGCATTAGGAAGGTCGAGGACTACTGTGCTAGAAGGCAAATACCAATGTAACGTGGTTAACCACCCATGAAAACACAGGAAATAAATGATCTCAGACCAGCAAAATGAAAATAAGGGAAGACTACACACACACACACACACAGAGAGAGAGAGAGAGAGAGAGAGAGAGAGAGAGAGAGAGAGAGAGAGAGAGAGAGAACAATGGGATAAACAATCATTGGTCATTGATAGTTCGGATCTCTCCTTCTGGCACGTCCAAGACACATTAAGTCAATATTAAAGACAGACATCACCTCTAGGTAAAGGGTTAGAAAAAGATATTCCAAGCAAATGGACTAAGACTCAAACTGGTGCAGCCATTTTGATATGCAATAAGAGATTGGGAAGGACAGTATATGCTCATCAAAGAAAAAACCTCCAAGGAGACATTTCAATTCTTAAAATAAGTTGCGTAAATGCAAGGGTAAACAAGTTTGCAAAAGAAAGACCACTATAGCTTAAACCACCCAGTGACCTTCATATACTGATGGTAGACTTCAATACCCTACTTGAATCAACGTACAGGTGATCCAGACAAAACTAAATAGTGAAATAGTAAAGTTAACATGTTATAAACCAAATTGTCCAAACACAAAATAATACACCTTCTTCTCTACAATTCAAGGAATTTCTCCAAAATTGAACACAAAGTGAGTCCCAAAAATACATGCACACTGAAATAACTCCCTGCATCCTATCACACCACCACAGATTAAAGCTGGTTATCAACAACAGAAACAACAGAAAGTCTACAAATTCATGGAAACTGAACAACTCTCAAGACAGAAATAAAGAATGAAATTGAAGATGTTCTAGAATTCAGTAAAAATGAATCTACAACATACCCAAACGTATGAAACACAATGAAAGCAGAGGCTAAGAGGAAAGGTAACAGTACAAAGTGCTTACGTTAAAAAAACATTGGAGAAATCTTATGAGCAACTAAGCACCAGAACTTAAAGCTATAGAACAAAAAGAAATAATAGCCGGAAACAAACTAGATGTACCTCAACAGAAGAATGAATAAAGAAAATGTGGTACATTTACACAATTTATTCAAGCTGTTAAAAAAACGGCATCATGAAATTTGCAGGTAAATAGAACTAGAAAAAAAGCCACCCTGAGGTAACCCAGACACAGAAACACAAATATGGTATGCATTATCTTCTAAGAAGATATTAGACATTAAAGAAAGGTTAACTAAGCTATAATCCCTATATGAAGCGGTTAGTTGAAGTGGAGGGGTTTAGGGAGCATGCATAGTGTGGCTGGGAAAGGAAAACAGAATAGATTTTAGAAGAGACATGGGGAAATTGCGGATGGGAGCAGGGGAATCAGTATAGGTGAAGAGAGAGTGGAAGGAGAGAGTTCATGTAGAGGTGGCTGGAACTGGCAGCCATTTGAAGGCAGTGGTGTAGAAACCTAGTGCAATAGGAACTTCCTGGAATATATGAAGGTGATCCTAATAAGAACTCCTAGAAATGGAGCATATGGATTCTCAACTGGCCATTTCTTGCTGCCAGGCATAGCTTCCAGTGGAGGGACTGGGTTACTTCCAGATGATGTTAAGGAGCCATTGCCAAGAGAGGACACCAACCTGGCCACAAACCTTGACCTACTTTCTGTTCCACCTGAAAAATATACTAGAACAATTGTGCCACAGAACTTGTCAATATCTGATTTGAATTAAGCCCTACTCCATGAGAAGAAACCCATACCCAACATTGCTTGGGTAGACAAGAACTAGAGCCTAAATAGCCCAGAGTTATAGGGTAAAATCACTAGTGTTCTAAAAATTAGAAAAAGAAAACCAATAAAATGACTCCTAATGATATTCTGCCATACTCACAGATAAATGCCTTATCCAGTCATCATCAAAGAGGTTTCCTCTGGCAGCAGATGGGAACAGATGCAGAGACTCATAGTCAGACATTTTGTGAAGAAAGTGTCTAGATGAGAGGTCTTCATTAAATCCCTCCCCTCAGAAATAAGGGAATCCCTTGGAAGAGGAGGGAATATGAGGCAGAAAGAATGTAAGAGCCAGAGGGGATAGAGGACACCATGAAAGCAAGGTCCTCTCAATCAACCTATCAAGGGGCACATGAGCTCACAGAGACTGAAGAAGCAAGTACAGGACCTTAAAAGGACTATACAGTTCCTCTGTATATGTATAATATATATATATATATAATAGCTATTAACTTAATATTTTTATGGGACTCCTGAGTGTGAGAACTAATGAGTCTCTAATTCATGTGCCTGCTCTTGAGACTCTTTTCTTCCTGTTAGTTTGCTGTGTTCCACCTTGATGTAATAGTATTTGCTTCATCTTAATTTATTTTATTTTATCACGTTTAGTTGTTCTCTCTCAGAAGCCTGCTCATTTCTAATGAAAGACAGAAAGGGAATAGATCCAGAGGGAAGGGCGGTGGGGAGGAACTGGGAGATGGAAGGGGAGGAAAAACTATACTCAGGAGAACTGTATGAAAAAAAGAATCGATGTTCAATAAATAGGGATAAAATTTTAAAAAGGCTGAATTAACCAGAAAACTCCAAGCAAATGTTCTCTTATCAGTAAATATAGTTCAATTCAACAAAGCATGACATAAGTAACAAGGCATTTCTGCCACACTGAGCAAGATTAAGCTGTATAACACTTTAATTAAACTTAGTAACAGTATATACTCATACTGGCATGCAAAACTTCCAGACTCTTGGTTTGCAGAAGTTTATACGAAAGATTTACATCTCCTAGGCATAGTTCATTTTTTCAGAGTTTAATTTGCAACCTGTCTATTCATTAATCTTTGGTCTAAATTATTAAAATTGACTTAAGTACTATTTGATTTTTGCTTACCTCCAATCAAGACAAAACTATCTGGAACTGCAAAAATTTTAACAACTCTTGATATGTGGCCTACAAAATACATGGCCTTCATGTACTCATAGTATGTATACAAAGACAGTATTATAATCTGCCTACTAGATCTCTGTATTGGTCTTTAACTCTTACTATAATTAACATTCTAGAAGCAAAGGTCTGGTCAAAACAGAATGGCTCATTTATCCTATGTAAAGTACTAAGAACAAACCTTGCCATATATAGAAAATGACAATATTTGTTTTTAATTTCTCAAGTTCTGAGATCATAATGTTTATCTAAGGTCATCTAAATTCTAACCTGAAAATGATGTAAATTGTTCCAAGATTGTCTTCACATGCCAAAGATGGTATGAAAGTGTTTGCATTTTTGCTCAATGTAAAAATTGTACATTTTACATTTTTTCTGTAGATTTTGATGCTCATTATTTTATTTCTGTTTGAAAATGTCACACATGCATATAATGAGCATCAAATTCAACTCCCATTTACTCCCCTCCAATTCGTCCTTAGTCCCTCTTGTACGCTACTTTTATTTCTCTTAAAGAATTTGAACTGATACACATTTAATGATCTTGTTCATTTCATACTTACTTTTCATGGTGTCAGAGTTATCATCTCTCAAAAATCCATCTTTACTTCCCACAGAATCAAATCTCACAAAGAGTGCATAGTCTTGCCTATATGCAGGTCCAATATCCTTTTTAACATCAACTACCAACCTGTAAATATCACAAATAGTTATTTTTAAAGCAATGGACACATATTTTTTCACTTATCAATATACATTATTACCCTAATCCTTAAATCGATTCAAGCAGATGGAAAAGAATAAAAACACAACTGTTATTCATTTTCCAAGTCTACTAACAAAAAAAGAACATCTCAGAGCATAAAGCTCAGGAGAACAAAACTGACTTAATACAAATATTTTTAAGACGAGACTAAAGTATCCCAACTTGCCAAAACTTACAGTACATGGCAGTGTCTATAATGCATTTTTCTTCCCGACAGAATTCATTGTTAGCTAAGAACTCTGACAAGTCTCTATAGTAATCCATATTTCCTCTAGTACTAATTTGCTACATATTTATTTCCTCTAGTGAAATGAACTCATATTTATCACCACTCAAGTTCCTAAGAGAACAAGTAAATAGAGATGTGAGTCAGATCTTCTTAGAGAAATGGAATGGAAGGCTGAAAACAAAAAAGAGAATCAAGAGCAAAGATACAGATAGATTATACCACAGGCCTTGTCACTGACTGCATTATCTATCTTAATTACAGACTAGCTCTTCTGCCACTGGATATTCAAACACACAGAAAGGTCATATTTGATATGTAATATTAAATTGGAACATATATGGTATGTTAAAAGACATATTTAAGAAAGACTTCATATATTCACACCTAAATTTCCATTCTAGACTCCCAAATAGTTAAGATACTGTCATAGGGAACAATGTTTGTATGTCTTTCAAAGTACATATGGGTGGAGGAGGCTGGAGAGATAGCTCAACAGTTAAATGGACCCAGGCTTGGTTCCCAGCACCCACATCAGGTGACTCACAACAACTACCTATACTCAGTTAAGATATACATATGTACACATAAAATAACATAATAATTTTGTATGTGTTGACTATAATCTTATATGTTTCAAAAAGAAACTTTCTGTATAAAAATGTCATTAAGGCTTTCTGCCTTAATTTTGTTTCAGTTGACATGATAAAGCTATCAAGAAGAGAAAGGTTAATTTTAGTTCACAATTCCAGGTCAAATTCCATTATATCAAGGAAATCAAGTCAAAAATGTAAAGCATTTTTAACTGTAAATGTAGTCACATCATAGTCTAGTACTCAGTAAGCTTTTTTATTCTTATATAGCATAAGATCCTAACACAGAGAATAGTGCCACCCATTTTCAGAATGGGTCTTCCCTCATCAATTAAGGCACTCTCCTATATAAGTGACCATAGGCCAATCTAATGTAGATAATCAATCATTGATTGAGATTCCAAGGTCATTCTAGGTTCTATCAAGTAGATAATTAAAACTAACCATCATATACTCATAAATTAAAACACAACTCAGCCTTCAAAAATCTCTTATCACCAAGTTTGATGGAAGTACCCTAAACAAGACCCTCTCAAGGAAGTAAATTCTTACAGCTGTGTAAGCTATTTGCACACAAGCAGATTAAGGTATTATTGAATTGTTTACCATATATTTAACGGATTCAAAAGTATTTTCAGCCTAAATAACAAAAGCAAGTACAAAGAACTGTGAAAATATACATTGAATGTATTTTATTAAATGGTGTTGGTTAACAGAAGCAGGTGCTGTTGGTTTAACATTGATGGCATTCAGACAGAAAGGATTTTTGTCCAGGTCAGAGCATCACTTCCTATCTGATGGAATCTATAAAATACTACATGCACATCACTATTCTTGCATCAAGTTCTGGGCTGCATAAATTAACTCACGCAATCCAAAACAACCTAAAACTTTACGTTCCTACCCATTTCCAATCTGGGATATTTTTATAATTAAAAAAAAACTACTGGATGTCACATTTATAAATACTGAAAATCTTAAACATGCAGAGAATATTTAGAAAAGCATTTAGAAAAATCTTTTTCTTTTTAACATGTTTTACTACGACATTAAATAAGTCTAGTTAGTGTACAGTTACTATAATTTTCACTAGTAATTGATGTTACAATTTAATTCACTTTTGCTTACTTTGGGCTGAAGCAAAATGTAATTACAATCTTTTGGTAAGGGAGTAAAGTCCCTTCACTGGGAACACAGGAGATAAAATCAGTCATATCTATTTTCTTTATTTTGTTTAAGTAGGGGAGATTGTTTAAGGCAATATCTGTCCTTTGATGAATATTTGCTCCCTGTAACATAAAATAAGACATAAAAGCATATTAGGGAAGAGTGAACAACATATTTTAAAAGATTAAAATAATTGTTGCAATTTTAGAACCTAGAAAGTGAAGGGTATTTGTCTCTAAAGTAACATATACCTAAATTTAACTGAGGCACATGATACAATTCAAAATTTGAGAACAAAAATCTTAAGAATAAGTCACTGATTGACAAGAAGCACTCATCTGGTTTAATTTAGACATGATGTACCACTTAACATTCAATTCACTTACCAGTTCTTCTCCAACACAATCATCTTGCATTATTGCAATCCAGTTTATGGTTTCAGGGCTATTGTTAAACAGAAGTGCATGCTCAATTTTTGATGTTCCGAAGAAAACAGAACCAAATCGTATACATTCCAATTTCCTCTCACTATTCATGTTAAACAATTCTATTATCTGTTCAACCACATGAACTTTGATGTTCAAGAATGTATCAGGACGACCTTGTAAACTCACTCTGTAAGATAATAAAATATGCATACATGTAAATAGTTTCATTATATATATTTATATTTATTTTCCTCTGACTATTTGAAATAAAGTTTTTTAAATGACATCATATCTAATTCAGCTGACTAAAATCAGTTCCTTTCATATACTGCTAAATGTTATCAGGCTATTAGGTGTGTCTACATCTTTAAAGAGAAATGTATGTGTAAGCTAACTTAGCCTGTACTAGAAACAACAATATTGGGGGAAAAACTAATTATGTTATCCCAGAAAGCACCAATGAAGCATTCATATAACTATCTTATAAATACAGGAGTTACATGATTCATAACATTAGCTGTGAATTTCAAAAAAACAAAACAAAACAAAACAAAACAAAACATTAGCTGTGAATTTCAAGACTCCATTTGCACTCATTGGCACCCAGGTCCAACCCAATCTCTCATCTACATCTACTTCCAAAGATCACAGTTCCCCAAATCAAAAATATCTCAGGAAAAAATTCTCATTTCAGTTCTCATTTAGCACTCCTGTCACATGTTTATTCCTTTCTGGCCCAAATACAATCCCTTAAACTTAACCCAAACTGACATCACAAATAAATGGCTATCATCAAAACGCTTATTTACATTTTACTATAATTGTGGGCAATATCCATACCATATCTCAACATACCTGTCCTTCCTCAGATTCCAGGACAAAACACCCTTCCCTGGGTTTTCATTCTAACTCACTCATGCATGCTCTAAATTTTCGTTCTAAGTCAGGATCCCCTGCAAACTGTGTTTCTTCTCTCTTATTGTTTCATATCCCCTCTTCTTTTCAGTGTAATTCTCAGCAGTCAGATGTTTTATACTCCACATATACTCATAATATCCTAACCCAACTCACCCAGACAAAACTGCTTTCTGGGGCTTAGAACATGTAAATCTAATACGCCATAAACTTACACTCCGTGATGATTCTGAAAATGAAAACAGTTCTACCATGCCACATCAGAACTTTCTTCTACAGATTCTTTCTTCCTCTTAGCTCCTTTGTTCATTAACTCATCAAATGAATTAAGCAAGCTTGTATAATATATCTCAAATCTGCACACTTCTCTCAGTTCTCCCAATTTGGGCCTTAGTTCTGCCCTTTTCCTATTTCTTTTTGGCTTTGTTTTTACAATATCTAGTCAGATTGTCAAGTCCTTCTTGCACTGACTGATCTGTTTCATTCATTGCTGTTACTGTGACTTTCTAAAATGCAAACTGATCCTCAGATTAATTTTCAGACTCGACTGTCTCTGAAACATCTCATCTGTAGCCTTCAATAAGAAATATATCTTGCCGGGTGTTTGTGGCACACAACTTTAATCCCAGCACTCGGGAGGCAGAGGCAGGTGGATCTCTGTGAGTTCCAGGCAAGAAAAAAAAGAAATACATCTCATATGCAATTTAGTAGCTCACACACAAATATGAAGAAAAGATCTATGAAAATTCAAAGAAGTTTTATAAAATACCATTTCTATTACTATGCGAGGTACACTCATATTTTCTATTTTATTACTTTATGTACAAGTGGCGACTCAGGGTATTAACTGCACACCACATCTAAGAACTAAGGAAAATCTCATAAAAATGTTGCCCCATAGACCCTTTATTGGATCATGGGTCAATCCTTTGTTTTAGTCTCACCTTTGCATTACTCCCTTGTATTTCTTCAACTCTATATTGCCTCTAATCCTTCAATAGGAAATACAGTTATCTCTAAAGTTTAAAATATGCCACTTTCTTTGCCTGAAATAACTTACATAATGCAATCTATCATCAGCATTCATTTTGCCTACATTAACACACACACACACACACACACACACACACACCAATCATATCACTTCTATTTGCTACCTAGATGTTATTTATGTGATTCAACTACCAATTTATTACTAGACTCTTTGAACCATTGAGACCATTCCCTCAGAGCCACAAAACTGAATCTAGGAGCTGCTGTTCTGTGTATCTATATGTGCTCTTCATTTAGTGTTGAGCACTATCTACACTTGTATATCTTTACATATAGGAATAAGTAAATGAACAAATAGCAAATGAAAGAAAAGGGGGCTGGCAAACAAAGAAGCAATCACTCTGAGTCAAGAAAAAAGGAAAATATTGAGTTGTATACAAACATTTTTCAAAAATCATACTCTATATTTACCTTGCCACTTCATTTACAAATTGGGACTGGTCTGCACAGAAGTCCACTTTGATGACGACTGATGACTTAGCCTTTACAGTACCACTACTTGGAGAAATGACAATAGGTAACTGACCCTGGTATTCTGTTTTAAACATACCTAAAGAAAATAAGAGACACAGTTTATAACTAGACTTTTACAATAGACACACATTACACAGATGTTCCACTGTGGAACAAAACTAATAAGTTTTATTCTGATTATAGATATTGGCATCACCCAACAAATCTGAACCCAGTGTTAGAAATCAACCATCATCAGTAGCTAAAAATATAAGCATTTTTAGAAATTACTTATACTAAGAACACTATATATCGACATACATGCTCGTCAATCCTTGTTATAAGTTATATGTTCAACTACTTATTTCCATTTTACAAATAAGAAATCAGACACTTAGCTATCTTGATCTCTGAAATATAAGTATGAAATGGATGCATGGAAAAAATAAATTATTTGCCCAGGTTTTTCAAATTAGTAAATGAAGCAATTAAGTGGGACACATGGCCAAATTTGCACCCAGAAAGACAGTTTTCTTGTAGTGATTCAGTGTTGTTTTTCCAAAAACTATTTTCCCATGTCTACAAATTTATCATTCATTCATTTCACTAAAAGAATACACTAAATATTCCATTAAAATTAAATCTGTATTTTAGTTCAGAGAGCTTAAACATGTATTACAACTATAATTTGGGGAGACTTTATACTAAAATGTAGATGTTACTTTTTTAAATCTAAAGGATTATGAATGAACAAGTTAAGACAGAATTTGGAGAGCAAAAATAAAATAAAGATCTTTCAATCATTTACTCAGAAATATTACTAGTCTTCAGAATCAAAGAACCTTAACCATTTGACTTAAGAGACTCTATTCTTCATATTAGAATTAAACTGAAAATGAACCTAATATTCTATAAACCCCAAAACAATGAATATTGACCCATCAAAGAACCAAATCACTGAAAGATAAATGAACAAAATTCAATCAAAAATAGTTATGAGTTTGGCTCTTGTATATTTTAGGAAGAAATATATATTGAGATAGATTGCCTTTGTGTTAATAACTCCCAATCTTCAAGCAAGCAGCTAAACACAGAAGAATCTAGTGGTAAAGAGTATTGTACTTATGATTTCATTATATATTCCACATGCAGCGTCAGAGAGACAGTCAATATCTAGTGTTAGTCTTCATATTAGATTGGGAGAAATGGCAATCTTGCCACCAATGTAGCTAACCATCACATCAAAAGAATGACAGATGATATTCATTGTTGCAATCAATAAAAAGTACATATGACAATGGTTTATGAAAACATCTGGTCACAAAAAAATTCTAAAAATAATCCAGTCTGGAGAAAAGTGTTCTTCCAGTGATAAATAATAAATTATTTAAAGCGTTCTATAGACCACGATGTGAATGCCAAGTTGACTATGACAAAGAGAAGAAATAGTTCATGCCGATGATGAAACACGTATGACATCAAAATTTTAAGCATATATCTAATTAACCATCATATACTACTCTCCTCATAAATTAAGAACCTAAAGTTCAATTTCCTTAAACACATTTGTCCAATATGATATAGCTAGTAAGTAAGTAAGGCATGGAGGTCTAGTTCAGTCTGGATAAGCCTAAAAACAATATTACGTCCATAACATCAACCTGCGTCCCATCTTCAGGAAGATCACCAGTCATATAACTAACAGGTTGTGTTAATATGAATTACAATAGGCAAGTTCATTTCTCCTGAATAATTGAATATCTATCCTTTATAGTCACAACATTTAAGGGCCATTGGTTTTCAAATATTTCAAATGATAGATATGTCTTGAGGACTATCTATCTTGAGGAAAATCTATTACGCAATAGGAAATTTAAAATAATAACAAATCTTCTAAATTTGTGATCTTATATGGCACAAAACATTTACCTGGAGCTTTGCCATGGTTAATAATACTAATCTCTTTACAATGCACTTTGCTATTGGCAACCAATGTGCCAAAATCAACTACTGGCACAATTTCCAGTTGACAGGTTGGAATCAGCCTAAGAGAAAAATGAAGCACACATTATGTTTAACAATAATAACATCTTCATAGATATGTCCATGGAGGACACACACACACACACACACACACACACACACACACACACACACTTTATATACATTTTAACTCCTTAAAAGACATTTCAGTTTATTTGCTGGTCTATTGATAACGCTGTTGTCAATAAGAGGCGTTAAGAAATAACATGTAAACAATAATGCAACCTTTTAAACAAGGAAAACAGACTTTATCATATAAGTATGATTTAACAGACTACTTACTCATTTATCTCAATTTAATGTTCCTCTAACATACATGAAATTCCTTTTGAGAATCTACAAGTCCATTAAATAGTTTGAAACTTATTAAAAAGGAGGAACTAACTATAATACTTCGAATGACATAACATATGACAAAAAGCACTGATACTATAACACAACATTTGGGGAGTACTATAGTTCCTTTCTGTTGCTATGCTAAAAGGCTGACCAAAACCAGCTTAGGGAAGAAAGTGTAAGATATTTGGCTTAAATATCCAGATTCCAGTCTATCGCTGAGTGCAGCAGGGTAGGAGCTCAAGCAAGAGCAGAGGCAGGAGGCACACAGGCACCACTTACTGACTTGCTCCCTATGGCTTGCTTAGCTTGATTTCTTATATACACCAGGATCATCTGGCCACATCAACGACAATCAAAATGCCCCGACAGATTTGACCAGAGGATAATAAAGATCTAATAAAGAACCTCAGTTGAGGTTCTCTCTTCCTGGGGGATTCTAACTTGCATGAAGATGATCAAAGCTAACAAGCACAGCGTATAAAACAAGATTTGTATACAAAAAAGAAATTTTATTCTCTATACTTTAATGTGTTCACTGAAGCATATATGCGATGTATCTTTTCAGACGTCTTTCCAATATTCATTGACACATAGGAGCAAATCTCATGACATACTTGTTTCATATTTTAAATTATAAGTGTATTAGTACAGTTTAATAATAACACAATTGGTACAAGACAGAGATGTGAAGATTACAAACCCAATCAGAGGAATCTCTAGTACTTTATTTCCTGCAGAAATAAACATGTGATCAAACACGTCTTCATTTTTATCAGGACGATATTCCACCATTGCTGTCATTTGAAGACCAGAAGCAAGTTCCTTATCCAGACTGCTCAACAACAGTTTGAACTTAAGTAGAAAAAAGATAAAATCAGCACTATTAGTTCCTTATAAGGAAAAACTATGAGCAACTGTAGTTAGGGAGTATGCATTATTATCAAGGATAAGTTTTACTCCCGCCTAAGTGAAAAAAATGTTTTTAAACTTTAAACTGATGAACAACAAATGTACATATTTATGGGGTATAATGATTAGGCCTGTACTAAAATGCCCCTTTTAGTTCCTAGTCCTATGAGAGTAGAGATATTTCTGTTCCTCAGTAGATTTCCAAGAAAACATCCCACTAATGTCTCAATTAGTAATGCCTGAAGGAATCAGGAACTTTACTTTTCAATGGTTAATTAACAATAACACTGCCAAAGAATTGGTCTTCTAGGATGTTAAGAAAACTTCAGAATCATGAAGACACAGTGCATGAAACTGGAATTCTTAGAAGTAGAGTAGATGGTAACCATCGTTGTATGTATAATGCATCACAGATCTGTAATTTTCTGTTAACTAAAAATAAAAACAGGAATAAGGCCTTTCCTCTTTCCAAACACAATATGAAGATGCATATTCTCTATCAGCTTTCACCTAATCATATCCCCTGTTCCAAGCAAAAGGTTCTTTCTCCATGCCTTTCCTGTCCCCCTTCTTCCTTTCCTTTCTGTCCTCTTTCCATCTCTCTCAACTTTCTTATCTACCTCCCTCCCTCTCTCCCATTCTTCTTTCTTCTTCCCTCTCCCTCCCTCTCTCACTTCCCCCTCACTCCCACCATTCTCCTTGTCCCTCAAGTCCTTGCCATCCCTCCCTCTTTCCTTCCATTTCTCCCTCCTCTCATCTTTCCCCCTTATCCTTCCATCCTTCTCTTCTTCCCATTCCCCCTTTCAGCTCCTCTCTCCCTGTATCCTCCTCCTCCACTCCTTCCGGTGTCTTTCACTCCTTCCCTTCCTCCCCTTGCTTCTCTTCCTCCCCTTCAGGCATTAGTTTCTCCTTCCTCCCTTGCCTTCTCCCAACCCCCTTCTCCCCCCTCCTTCTTTTGTTATCTTCCCCTGCCCTGTGACTACACCTCAGCAAGTGCAATCTTTGCCCGAATTCCTTAGGAGCCTAAATTTTGGTCTTTGTGTCACCTGTGGCTTCGCGGGCTCTTGAAACCTCATCTTCTGGTTCCAGCGGCCCAAATTGTGTACAGTAAGAGGGAGTCGGTACACTTTCCCAGATACTGCATCCAGGAACCTCAGCTCCGACGGGATTACCCTCAGTTGAACTTCCTTCTTGGGACTATCGACATCCCGAAGGGCTAGTGAGCCCCGCTCTGTGTCCATCGTGGCCTCTAGACAGCCTGCAGCCAGGCGCAGACTTGACCAACTCCCGAATGGCTAGGGACAACAGATGTAGCTAGGAGACAAGCACTAGGAAACCATTATAAAGACGTCTCGTGAGCGAGCGCTGCCCCCACCCCCTCGCTCTCGCCCCAGCATTCTTCAGGAGGTGCTCGCCCCGCCCTGGCCACGCCCCCTCACCCAGGACCCTAACATCCTCCCCCTCCCTGAGGCCTTGCGCCTGCGCAGTAGTCCTGTCCTCAGTGGTACTGCCCAAGGCCTTGAGCTGGCAGCTGAAACAGCATGTTTCGATGGAAACAGAGACCTGGATGGCAAGTGTCAAGAAAATAATTGGAAAATACTTTATGTCAGCCTCAAATGCAAAAGCAACTACTGTTGACGTAGCCAGGGTTTCAAAGGGGCACTTGATGTAGTGGTTGCTTTCCTGGATCCTGCTTCAGAGCAAGCTTAGTGGGAACAGTATGTCTGCAGGGTCTACGAAATTAGGGATTTTAATAAGGGTAACAGCATCAGTGGGAGCCAGGCAGTGGTGGCACAGAGCATGGGAGGCAGAGCAGGCAGATCGCTGTGAGTTCGACACCAGCCTGGGCTATAAGAGCTAGTTTCAGGACAGGATCCAAAGCTACACAGAGAAACCATGTCTCAAAAAAACCAAGCCCCCCCAAAGAAAAAAAACTATTGGATCGTTATAAAAAAACATAAGAAATGTGTCAATGGAGATAGCTAAGTAATCTCTCTGTACAATAAATTTCTTGTGGTTTTAATAAGAAGACATTATTTTTATTTGCATTTTCCCCAGTGCTAGTAAATAAATCCAATGCATTGAGCACACAAGCACTTTACTACTGAACTACACCCTCAACCCCTATGTCAATAAATTTAAAAGAAATTAAATACCCACGCATAATATGAAAGTAATCCTGTGGTTTATTATTGGATACAGATTCTAGTTTAGCATGTCTTAAGCACTTCCTAGGAACTTGTACTTCTAAGTTTGCATTTTTTTCAAATGCTATCTGAAGATTAACTTTTAAAGTTATTGCTTAAGGTACACCAATGAAGCATCTGCACAAGCACAGAATTACTTTTCTCTCTGTTCCTCTAGTTCTTTTCATTTGCTCAATCTGACAGCTAAAGATTCCAGCTAAAGATTCCCTGTAACATCTCATACCTTTTAAAAATCTGCCCCCTGATCATTTTACAATCTTACAGTACTAAGGTCATAAATTGTTTCTTTATCAAAAAGATGGAGAGATTAATAAGTAGCCCTAGACATAAAGTGAACTTGTCAATTTATTGGAATTGTAGTTGAAAGTTGAAACAAGATAGGAAGGGAATGGGCTATTATTTGTGAATTTTAGGAAAAGATAAAATATCTTCTGAAAAAATCTGCCTTTAGTTTAGAATTTGGAGATTTGAATTACCTTTGAATATTTTTAGAACACAGTACAAAGCCTCTCTAGATCCCCGTGCACAAGCCAAATTTGCTCTGTACCCCTGAAAGGCTGAATTTGAGTGAATACAAATCACAGGTCCTGCACAAACCTGTGGCACATGTTTAAAAAAAAAAGACTTACTGAAGTGTGAACTGTGTAGCATCTCTTTTGATTTGGTTTTTAACTAAGGAATTGTGGAACTCAGAAATGTGTGCAGTAAGATGTAACACCGGGGAGAAAACAATGGTTAGAGCATCTACTCCTGAATTTGCTTTATGCAGCTTTCTGTAAGATCTGTGATATACATGACCCCAGTGAGATTGAGTTGATAGGATGCTTTATGAGCTTGTGCTGAGAAATAATTTTGACAAATTTGGACAATTGGGGTTTATTTAAATAAGAAGAGGAGATATTAAATAAATTAGAAACAAACAAAATTATTAATTACTTAGAAAGTGGAAATTTGTTCATAAAAATAAACTCTTATTTCCTTTGTCAGTGAATATCATTTACTGAGTAATTCTCATCTAAACACAGAATGTTGATCCAAGTAAAAGCATTACATGACTACATTGTTAGGTGGTAAAATGGGACTATGTATCTGATGATGAGCTGGTTGGTGAGAAAACACCTGATTGTTACTTTTTCCAGTAAACAAATATGAAAACATTAGATTCTGATGAGGTTATAAAGCAATAAGATAATTTTTACATTTCTTCCTTGTCTGTAGTCCTGTCGATTGAAAGTAGCTGCTTTTGCTCGCCAGATAGTCACTCTACCTACCACTCTATATACTAGTCCTAGTTTTACTTTTTAAAATGTTGAGATAGTGTCTCACTGATTATCCCAGGTTTTAGTTCAATCAGGCCTAGAATTTGTGTTCATCATGCCTCAGCCTCCCAAACAATGTTGTTTATTAGGCCTGAATCACCAGTCTCTATTCACATTTAGTAAGAATTTCAATTTTGTCAACCACTCTGGAAAAGACTTTTGAAAATGTTTGTTAAGGTAATCACATAATCAGCATGGAATTCACAAGTTGCATTCATGGTCATTCTTTTTAGAGAAACACAAACTTATTTTCACAAAAACCTTGAGTGTTGCAAATATGAATTTTATTCTGAATAATGAAATCATGAAACAATCCAGTGCAAATCGCTCAGCTATGAATAAACAATCTGCAATACATTCATGCCTAAAATACTACTCCACAATGAGAATGAATGATAAATGTTAATGTTCTGGTGACTTTCTTGGTATTATGAAGAATGGAGCTGTAACAGGCTCCCAAACCTTAGCGACCCAGAGATCTTAGCACAATTAACGCCATGATAAAAATACTATTCAGGCTGTGAAACTTAGCACATAGCCAGTACCACCAGCCAAAACTAAACCAAAGGCCTAATCCATCAAAATCTATAGTTCTAGGAAAGTCTAAATGTACTAATCTTTCATTTTGGCTTCTGTAGTTCCATTTCTGCTTAGCTGTTCTTGTGAACTGAAGTGTGTCAACCTAGAACATGTTGTTTGTTCTTCAAACTGGCCCTGAGAAAGGATTGGGGGCTACAATGGACTCCAGAACGCGCAGTGTCGTTACCCGCTGGCTAATAGAGACTTCTATTGGCTTTAACCAATGTCCTAACAATCTTCTCGGATGACTACCCTACATTTCTGGAGGCCCCGCCAAGATCCCAGAGACCAGATCTTGAGACACGTGTGTTTGAGTCTATGGGAGGAGGGATGTTCAGCACAACCTGAGATGTTCTAGGTCTTTGACTAATTGCTGCCTAACACTTTAGAGGGGTCTGACACCTCCACCCCAAAAGGTAATGAGTTAGAAAGTCACCTCTGGAGGTAAGTCTGGTTAAGGGACATTCTGTTTGGATGCATAGAACACAACTGCTGATCTATGTGAGATGTCACTGGACTCCTTCTGCTTGTTCAAGTATGTGAATATGCTGGTTGTATTTATTCTCTGTGTGTGTGTGTTTCAATATGTCTTTGTATGTGTTTTTATTTCAGTTTTGTTTCTCTGATATGAGAACTCTGCCCCCCACCAATTAAGACCTGTGTCCCCTCCTGTTGGGGACCTGAATCACCAGAGAGACCAAAAGCACTTCCACTTCATCCAATTCAGGAACACTTCTTGTTTGGTTGCTTGATCTAGACTCACAATCATAGGATTATCCCTGTTTGGAGGTGGGAAGGGGCTGGCCTGTCATCCAGGGTCCCCAGCCATCTAAGCAGAATGCACACAGGGAGGGAGAAATAGTGTCTCCAGCTGAGAATTCCTCCTCCTCTGCCTGTTCTGAGCAGCCCTGGGAAGGGGAAAAGTTCCTCCAAGGTTGAACCTAAAGGAAAAGAGAAAATTCCACTCCATTCTCTTTTGTTTTAATGTCTCCTTTTCAAACTGTGATCTGTAAAACGCACCATTCTCTGGAAAAAAGTAGAAAAACTGCCCCTGAAGAGGGTAGGGGGAATCCCTGCCAGGCAACACAGACTGAAAAGAGCAGATTTTCCCTTCTGTCCAACATTGACCAAGATAGATACTTTTTACAAAGATTAAAGACAGCGACAAAAAGATTTCTTTTGCCACACACTTAACCCCAACTTTACAAAAAAAGAAGAACAAGAAGAAGGAGGAGGAGGAGGAGGAGGAGGAGGAGGAGGAGGAGGAGGAGAAGGAGGAGGAGGAGGAGGAGGAGGAGGAGAAGAAGGAGGAGGAGGAGGAAAGAATGTTAGAAAAGTTAGAAAAATTTAAAGGTATAAGTAGATCCCAGTTGCTAGAGGCAGCTCAAAGGGTGTTTGACAACAGAGAACTGATTGGGACAAGACTTTTACATAAACTGAAAGCCACTGTTACCTTCTCTGATGATGAGAGACAGACTTATAGATACACAGCAAAATTTTGGTGTCTTACCCTCCATCAGTAAAAATATCTCCTAGCTGAAAGTTCTCCTTCCAATCAAAAGGTGATTGGACTATCTCTCAGATGGACAATAAAGATTCCTGCAGGTATGGGTAGAAACAACCTTCCTAGGACTGGCGCAACACCAAATTTCTGTAGTTGTTCAACTAACCAGTTCAGCTACCTCCATTCAGATTAAGTAATACCCTGAAAGTAAAAGGGAAAATTGTAATCCATATTGCCTGTCTCGAAAAGAAAATCATCCTGGTGCCCTGCCAGTCACCCTGGAATGCAGCTCTCCTGCCTGTGAAGAAATCTAGGACCTCTGAATTTCGTGTGTCTGATTCTTCCAAAGAAACATGTCTGTCTTGGACCTGAATGATGGCAGAGGTGAGTCAACCCCTCCTTACTTTTAAATGGACAGACCCAGTGGGAGGTTATAGAAGGCAACATTCCTGGACCAGTTCACCCCATGATTTAAAGACACTAAATGCAGACTTCCTGCCCTTCTGTCAGAGGTGTCATGGTAAAACAGATTATAAGAGAGCCACAGAGGGACTGTTGCAAGAGTAACAGACTGTGGGCTACAGAATATCAGCTAAGAAGGGACAACTTTATAGAAGCCTACCTATCTTGGCTACCAACTGAGGGGAGGCAAAAGAAGCTGGTCTTAGAGTAGGATATCTTCTAACCTTCAGATCCTAACCCCAAAGACAAAGAGACAGGTTCAAGAGTTCCTAATTGCAGCTGGATATTGCTGCCTCTGGGTATCAGAGTT